AATAACTAATAATAAATTAAATTTTAAAAAAGCGAGCTTTTACAATATTGAATTTCCCTTCTGGGATAAATAAAGTATTTTTCATTTCATTTCATTTCAAATCAGGCTAAAAATTACGGTTTTAGACTGGTTTTCCCAAAGTTCTGACTTAACTTGAGGTGAAACTGCCATTTACACGTCAATGACATGTAACAAAATATTAGTGTTGCTGTATGTATATTTTTGACCCAGCAGATTTTGTCGTATTTCCAGAGTACCTGTATTAAATCTGTCAAAGAACCAAAATGCATGATTGCTTTTTGTGACGAAGATGCATGTGTATTTATGATTCATCTTTGAGAATTACGAGGTATAGCTGTCACTGGAAACTCAAGCCTGCCATGATATACGTGGTCATTAAAAGTGTCGGTGAGCTTTATTTTATGCTAAAATGAAACTGACTCAAGCACTTCATAAACGCTTGGCATGAAATATAGATGAAGAAAAAATATCTCGCCATTTCACACGGAACAAACTAAGCTTTCAGGTCGATCTTCTGGCTCGGGCTGCCAGTTATTCCACCACGTCATGCCAAGAGCCCCCGCTGTGAAAGAGCAGTGACGAATGCAAGAAACAACCACAGTTCTATTAAGGGCAGTCACGAGTTTGGCTTTAATGTATGCATATTCTATAATCTATGTGATTTGAGCATGAAAATCCTTCTTTAGTAAGTGTTTGCTGAGGTGTTATGACTTCTTTACAACCCCGTCAGCTGCGAGATGCGGCTGCAAGCTCCAGAAGATATTTAATATTGTGTTGCAGTCACTTTGTAAACCTCTATCCCATTCCTCTCTATTGTAGGTTATTTAAATGGGCCAGGCAGAGAGTGAGGACTGTGAGGATCAGCACTTTGCCTCCCCGGTGATAGGTGTAAGAATAATAAGTTCCTGAAGCCCTCAGGTACAATGAACAAGTCAGAGGTGAACGCGATAAATAAAGGAACCGCTGAGCTGTGGTTATATAAAGCTGACTCATTAGTGATGCTCACCCACAGCGTCGGAGCCTCATCAGCAGCACGCCTTCTGTCAGCACTCACCTATAATACCGTATATGTGTGTGGCATCCCCGCAGGTGGTAATGAACAATCAGCGGAAGATCATCTGGCCCGGAGGCGAGACGGAGAAACCACAGGGCTTCCAGATGTCTACTCGATTAAAGGTGGGGCTTTCACTTTGCTGCTGCGATGTGACATTCGTGTCGACACAGATCGAGCACGTCCCTGAGCCGATCTGCTCTGGACGGACAGTGCACCGACATCCCTTTCTCAGAGCGAGTGAAGTTAATCCATGTTCATAAAAGCAGCGCTGATGTATTTCCTCTGACTTTTATCTCCTCTCATCTGCAACCTTGTCAGTGTTTTTACGTTCACCTGTCTGTCCCTGTGTGTCCATGTGTATCTGGCAGTCTGTCTTCTTGGGTATTTTCTTGCACTCGAGGGCTGGACCAGATTCAGCTCCGACTATGTGATAAACAGCTTTCTGTCCTATGTTTTCGTAGATAGTGACGATACACCAGGAGCCATTTGTGTATGTGAAGCCCACTATGCCGGATGGAACATGCAAGGAGGAAATGACATTAAATGGAGTCTTAATTAAAAAGGTTATCTGCACTGGGCCCAATGAGACCATCCCAGGTAACCTATCAGGGACGTTTATATTGTCACTGTGCTTCTAGTGCACCCGCCAACCACCCACTGGAGATGCATACATATATATGCAGTAGGTATCTATATATGTATGCATGTAGCCATTCAGAATGAGTGACGTGAGCGTGTGCAGTGCGGCTGAGTGTGCTCGTCTGCAGTGCACCACTGTGTCACGCATTTTGTTCAGTCTACGTGCGCCGCCTTTGGATTAAAAACAACAAAAAAAACAACAACACGTTTCTTCTGGACTCTTTGTAACTTGCAAACTTTGCTGTTCTTGTTACAGGACGCCCAATTGTGCCCCAATGTTGCTATGGGTTCTGTATTGATCTGCTGATCAAGCTGGCTATGACCATGAACTTCACCTATGAAGTGCATCTGGTGGCTGATGGAAAGTTTGGAACTCAGGAGCGCGTAAGTTTTTTTTTTTTTTTTTAAAAAGCCATGTTTTTGCATGTAGCACTGGATGCATGAATAACTTTAATGTTTTTAATAGGTTTCTCTTATCTTACTAGCAACGCTGATCGCACTAACTGTTGAGAAATGAACTGATAAGCAGTCAGACCCACAGATATGAAATGTAGAGTGGGAGGAATTTGCTAATCGTGACTGATCTAGTGCCAGTTTTTGAATGTCTGCACAAGGCAAGCAGCAATCAGCATGACATATTTTAGGCAATTTGAAAGTGACAGCGAGCTGTAATATGAAAGAAATATAATATCACATCAACCAATTTGAAAATATACCAGAGAGAAAAAAAAAGAGAGAATATTTCTTCAGGGCAGTAAAAGTAAAGTGTTGTCAAACTAAATTATCTCAGGAAGTTTTCATTCAGTTGTTCTTCATTAAGGAGCTTTTGTCTTTAACAGATTTCTCTGTGCAGCTTGAAAAACAAGCAGATAAAAGATTTATTCTAATTAGCAATATGGTTATCATATGTGAACACTATTAGTAGGAAACTAGGGGACACACAATTACTCTAACATAGATGGAAAATGGATATGATACCAATCAACAATAACAGATTTTTAAAACGCTGGTCACATGTAGATCTGCTTTGCAAATTCTAGTCCTGGTGTCTTTGCATAGTGTTTCCTGCTGCTGTTAAGAGCTTATTTTATAATTAGAAATTCATTTGCCGTCTCAGAGAATTACTCATTTTGTCTGTCCTATTCTTCAGAATAATTAAGATAAAGGCCACGAGTGCCAGTGAGATTTCATCATGTTTATTTCTGACTTTGCTGGAGCTGTTTCTATGCAGCACAGTGCTTCCCATGGTAGTTCTTTTTAGATGCTTGTTATTTTCCTGATTATAATCTGTGCATTGGATTATACTGGTTAAACTTTTGCAGAACCTTTGATTTTAAAAATGATATAAACAAGCTGTCCTGTTTCCAAAAGATGCTTTTACTGCTCCGCTGCCTTATCTGTTCAGTGATGCATGAAAGTGGAAAAAGGCATACATACGCACACATTTAAGATTTCTTGTTTTGGCAGAGTTCATTCATTTTCATTAACCCCCCTGGGAAAAGGTTTGCCTTTGTGCTTAAAAAATAGGACACATGCCCCATTAGAATGAGCTATATATAACCTAACCTTGCATTGCTCAAGTGGGACACCTTTGTGAATTTGTGAATGAACCCAGACTGTCCTTTTATGCACCTTTCCTTAATATCTTTGCAACAAATTCAGGTTTTACTTGGAGACACAGCCTTTTATACGCAACATCCTCCCAATAGTTTGCTGATTTACTTATATATTTACAACAAATGAACCTCCACTTAACAGTTGGTTAGCAGAAAATATTAGTTTGCATAGCTAATGTTTTAAACTAACCCCAGCTCGAGCTAACAATGCTGTTTACCACTAGCTTATGCTAATGGTATTTCTTGGTAAAAGTTGTATATTTTCTGTGTAAATTGTTGCAAACAGTTGGCCAGCACCAAATATTAGCTCATATTTAGTGTCTTTACACTAACAAATGTTTCGCTAACAATAATAATTAAAGTATTTCTTGGCAAAAGGTATATATTTTGTGTTAGTTGTTCATATTTAAGCAACAGTTCGGCCAGCAGCTAACATTGGCTAATAGCATATGTCTTTATGTTGACACCAGTTTAGCTAACAATAATAATTAAGGTATTACGTGGCACAAAGTATATATTTTCTGTGTAAATTGTTTGTTTTTTGGGTAACATTTGGCCAGCACTAAATATGAGCAGGTGTCTAATGCTTCTAGCTCATATCTAAGCTAACACTAGTTTAGCTAACAATAATATTTATGGTATTTCGTGGCAAAGTTTTATATTTTCTCTGTAAATTGTTGGTTTTAGGCTAACGGTTGGCCATCACCAAGGATTAGCACATAGCTAACATTTTTAAGCTAACATTAGTTTAGCTAACAGTGGTGCTTATGGTATTTCTTGCCAAAAGTTGTATAAATTCTGTATTACTTGTCTGTTTTAGGCAAACAGTTGGCCAGCCCCAAATATTAGCACATAGCTAACATTTTAAGCTAACACTGGTTTATCTTGCAATGGTAATTATGGTATTTCTTGGCAAAAGTTGTATATTTTTGGTGTAAATTGCTAGTTTTTTAAGCTAACAGTTGGCCAGCACCAAATGCCAGCTTACATGTAATGTTTTTAAGCTAAGATTAATTTCAGTTAATAATTTATGGTATTACTTGGCAAAAGTTGTATATTGTTTTTAAGCTAAGATTAATTTCAGTTAATAATTTATGGTATTACTTGGCAAAAGTTGTATATTTTATGCAGAAGTTGTTGTTTTAGGGTTAAACTGTTGGCAAGCACAATTTCATTTTTAAATGTAGTTAATTTTTTTGAACTGTGGCTGTATTTTAAAGCGGTTTACATGAATGTTTGATACTTATTTAACTTCTGTTAGCAAAAAAGCGTCAAACAAAGTTAAACAGTGTATACAGAATTCCCATTTTTACTCATAGCTATCGATACACCAGTATTTCTAAACCTTCCTTTCATACTATATTTAGCATTAGTTGCACCATCAATGCCACATACCAATCTTTTTTCCAAGTATTTTTTTTTCTTATTTGTCATCTTTTAAAGCAGAGAAATCTCTTGAGACTAAAATCTCTTTTGACACTGTTATATCCAAAATGGCAGCATGATTTTGTAATACAAGTCAATACTGAACGATCATTATCAGACGTACGACAAGGCAGATATAGAGCAGAAACGACAGACAATAAAATGAAAACCTGCTTGGACGCAACAAAACATTCATCCATACAAACCCTGTTCTGCAGGCACAGCATGAACTCACTCTTCCACACTTCTGGTGTTCTACAGCGCATGGTATTCTAAATTACAGAGAACAGCAAGCTCTCTTTTGATAAGACAGACACAATTTCAGAGATATGAAGCATGCTGAGTACTTGTATCCCTGCTTGGCTTAACTCAAATCCTCAAAGCCCGGAAACATTCTGTGGTGTAGACAACAGCAGGATGATAGCTGATTCTTCTGTTCACACTCTGCTTTTGGGACTCCAGGTGAACAACAGCAACAAGAAAGAGTGGAATGGCATGATGGGGGAGCTCCTGGGAGGCCTGGCTGACATGATCGTAGCCCCGCTGACTATAAACAATGAGCGAGCCCAGTACATCGAGTTCTCCAAACCGTTCAAATATCAAGGCCTCACGATCCTTGTTAAAAAGGTAGGTGGCATTTTTGGTTTTCTGTAAAAGTCAAACAACCCCTAGGGAGGTTCAAGTGTTGCTCACTTGTGGTGTCCTCCAACATTTAAGGTATTACAACAGCGTGAGCAGAAGTAATGACTGTTAGAAAAGGCCATGAAATAGATAAAACTTAACAGCAAAGAGTGTGTAGAGAATAAAAGCTTCATCCATGAGAGACTTGTGATCGAACTTTACAACAATTTTGGCCATGGCTGCTCTGACACGGTGGTTGCAGTGCTATAGTATGTTTGTAAAGCCCGACCTCTCATCTGCTGCAGCTGTGACACAGCTTCAGACATCTGCAGCGTCATTTGTCCTTGTTAAAACTCTAATTCAAGATATCTGTAATTACTTCTTGACCAGACAGAATTAGTTATACCCAACTTAAGATACTGACGACATCATTCTGACCAGTTCAAACTTAATTTACGATATCTACAGAGGACAACCTACAGTGACTTTGAAGTTTCCGTTTTTATTGCGGTAACACTGTACATCAACATGAACACACCATCTCCACCATGAAGCACGGTGGTGGCAGCATCATTATTCTGGGATGCTTCTCGGCAGCAGGCACTGGAAGGCTTTAAAAGGAAAAGGGTCACTCAACGAAAGTGTAGCCAAAAATGCCAAATTATTTTGTCTATGACTTAATGTTGGAAAGCAATAAAAGGGGAAAACTTCCAAGGCAGGTGAATACTTTTTATAGGTGTTGTCGATATCTACCATTGAGATGTACTCAAGATGTGTTGAATTTGAATTGTGGCGAGTCATAAAATCATAAAAGGATTCAAGTGATTCAAGTCCCAGGAAGATAGTCTGAAATGACGACTGTAGACAGAAAGAAAGGCATCATGAATATCTATTCTTTTTAACAAAGAATAACTGAATTACACTTATCAAATCTAGCTAATAAATGTTGACAGATTGCATTATGCACTAGGATCTTATCTGTATCCTTTTACATTATGCGGAGCAGAGACACATCCGAGGTCAATGACAACACAGCAAAGTCTGCTGTTCTTATTGTGTGGACCCTTAAAAGAGTAAGTTCTACCTTCTACAGTGGCTGATGGGGATCAAAGTTAGTAAATACACACTTTGGTTCATCATTTCTCTGAAAATGGGAGTTAAGTTTGTATGCAGGTATCATTGCTGTCGTGCAACCTTCCTCTAAAGGCTCGTGGCAATGTTTTCAGCCCTCTCATTTCAGATGCACCTGACCAGTAGTGGAAATATGATTTATAAATCGAGTTATCTATTCATTTTCATTAATTTCCATATTTTATTATAATAGTTCACGAAGAGCTGCTGCATTTTTCTGTTTGTTGTTATGAGGTTGTGCAGCCTGTCAGCATCTTTCGTTGCCAAAAAATGCCACCTGTGGCAAATTCACACATTTATTACAAGTTTTCAGAGATTGTTTTCTTATTCTGAACCCATACTGATATATAAAGATACCAAATTGTGCCTGGAATAGCAGGAAATCACAGAGTTTGGAAATAGGCCGGTAGTTCCGTTTGTGTTTGTCTGTAATATATAACAATCTAAAGTTATTTATTGTCAATCGATAACATCCTGCGGTGTGTGTGTTTCCAGGAAATCCCTCGCAGTACACTGGACTCATTTATGCAGCCGTTCCAAAGCACGCTGTGGCTGTTGGTGGGTCTTTCGGTGCATGTGGTGGCGGTGATGCTTTACCTACTAGACCGGTTCAGGTACAAAGGGGGACCAGTTTGTGTGTGTGTGTGTGTGTGTGAGTGTGCGTCCATATGTGTGTTTACCGTACATGTGCATTCACGACTGATTCGGTGTGTGTTTCCAAGTATGTGTACATGCACTCCTGAGCTCTGCAGATCTTCCCTCGGTGTGGACAACAAGGCAGACAGAGGTGAAGATTGGCTCCAGTCATCCCACCGCTCTGTCGTTGTGCCGCAGTCTTTAGCCTCTTTTCCTTTCTCGGGACTTTCTTTGTGTTGCTTCGCTCACTCATGTTCAGTTCCCCTCTCTGCCTGGGGCCGCCAGGGTTTTCCTCCACTACAAGTACTCGGCGATTTCTCACTCTATTTTTTGCCACCCTCCCAATTTTCTTCCCCCTCTAGCCCGTTTGGAAGATTTAAAGTAAATAGTGAAGAAGAAGAAGAAGACGCCCTCACCTTATCATCTGCCATGTGGTTCTCCTGGGGAGTGTTGCTGAACTCTGGTATTGGAGAAGGTGAGACAGAAAACCAACCGGTACATGTTCTCCTTCACAGAGAACACTGGACCGCTGTATTCTAGTCTTTGAACAGCTTTTCTGCTGTGAAAGGACCAAAATCAAGACTGTTTGTGGCGCCAGGTGTTGCCTCACTGTCTTGTTTTGCTTTGAGGATGACAAATTAATCGCTTTCAAATCACATTTTGTGCAGACAGGCTTTGGTGGAGTTTGTCTTTTATCAGTTTATACATGTTTCCTTTGCTTGTTTCATTTGTCCTCGGTATTGTTTTGTTTTTTTCAGTGTTTGTTACTTTAGTGGGGCATATTTTTGGTCAGGAGTTTATTAAGGATTCATTACAAGTTGTTGTTGGGAATAGGACTTATAGCAGAAGTCGCAGTGCTGAGATTTGGCTCAAAAGGAAAGACTGTCTTCAGCCTTTCGACGAGACTAATCCTATTGGAAATGGAAAGTTACTGAGCTGAAACTCAAAACTTGAACTCACCGCACAGGTGCGCCGCGCAGCTTCTCAGCGAGAATCCTCGGTATGGTGTGGGCTGGATTTGCCATGATCATTGTGGCTTCCTATACTGCCAACCTGGCTGCCTTCCTGGTGTTGGACCGGCCTGAGGAGCGCATCACCGGCATTAATGACCCAAGGGTGGGTGACACGAAGACCGTATTGCTCCACAGTTGGAATTTATCAATAGCCAATGCTCAAATGTTTGTCCTTGTTTGTTCGTGCAGCTGCGAAACCCATCCGACAAGTTCATCTACGCCACGGTGAAGCAGAGCTCCGTGGACATCTACTTCCGGCGGCAGGTGGAGCTAAGCACCATGTACCGCCACATGGAGAAGCACAACTATGAGAGTGCCGCCGAGGCCATCCAGGCCGTGCGTGACAAGTGAGTCTCGGCCAGGCCGGGCCGACCAGAGCACATGGCGGCCGGCTGCTCAACCCATCAGGCACGTAGAGCAGGGCCAGTGCAGTTAGCTCAGGGGGAAGGGACATGGACCTCCGGACCAGGTGGAAGTGGCAGGAGTTACTGCGACTCTCCCTCTGATTCAGGCCCATCGCCCAGCCGAGGCAGCGGTCCAGGGACAGCGGCAGGTGTGGACGTGTCGACAGCACTGACACCAGTGTGAGGTTGAGCTAACAATGAGTCCAGGAGCACCCTTTTTCAGGTTGTACCCAGACGAACATCTTTGAGATTGGGGGAATCCAATGGGGGACGCGCCCTCACCCATCTGGCATTGGATTTCATTTGGGCCATAAGCAGCGGTAGAGAATTGCTGGTAAACGCTGAATGACACACACGATTTGGTGTGCGAGAGAGAGCGGGGTGGGAGCCGTAAATGTGTATGTAAATCATTGTACTGTTGCACCGTAACCCCCTCCTTCCCCTCCTCCTTCCTCCTCCCTCCTACCTCCTCCCTCCTTCCTCCTTCCTCCTCCTCCTCCCTCCTCCTCCTCCTCCCTCCCCCCCTCCCCCACAGCAAGCTGCATGCTTTCATCTGGGACTCTGCGGTGCTGGAGTTTGAAGCCTCGCAGAAGTGCGACCTGGTGACCACGGGAGAGCTGTTTTTCCGTTCGGGCTTTGGCATAGGCATGCGCAAGGACAGCCCCTGGAAACAGAATGTGTCCCTGGCCATTCTCAGGTCTGTCCCAGCCGAAGCTGCATTACTCGTATGACTTTTTTTTTTCTTTGTTTCTTATCGATATGATTTCTTGGTCACGTATTGACCATTTACAGCCATCCAATACATTGCCTTATGTCGCATCTCTCTCTGTATCTCCCCTCTCCTGCCCTGTTTGTCTGTTTGTCTGTCAAGTTTATGCTTGTTTGTCAGTGCACTTGTCTGTGTTTCACTTGTGTTGCTATCTGGGAGTGAGCGGCTCAAAGATTCCGTCCTTTGCGGCATTTTATTAACTTTGTCACCTCTCTCCCCACCACCCCTGACCCCCTGCAGTTCTCATGAGAACGGCTTCATGGAAGACCTAGATAAAACCTGGGTGAGATACCAGGAGTGTGACTCACGGAGCAATGCCCCAGCCACACTCACCTTTGAAAACATGGCAGGTATGGTCCTTATGGCGTAGCGAAAGCGTTAAAAGTGATTGGACAAAAACTGCAGTGGTAAGGTACTGTAGACCTTTTTTGTCCAATACCTTTAAAAAAAAAAAAAAAAAAAAAAAAAAAAAAGAAAATCGTTGTTTTAGTGTCAGCGTGGGTGCTCTGTGGAAGTGTGCCGTACAGTATCTTGTGCTGTGACTTTGTGCGGTTGTGGTCTTCTATTAATATTGTGTGGTTTGCAGCCGCCGTCTGGAGCTGGTTGAGAAAAGGCGAGGCGACCACTGAGCATGACAGGCTGACCACGCATTCATGCTCAGTGGGAGCGGCGGAGTAGTAGACCGGCGGCTCACATGTCTCCGTCTCTGCCCTCTTTCTGTTCGTCTGTCCCTCCCCTGCAGGTGTCTTCATGCTGGTGGCTGGAGGCATTGCAGCAGGGATCTTCCTCATCTTCATCGAAATCGCCTATAAGCGCCATAAAGACGCCCGCAGGAAGCAGATGCAGCTGGCCTTTGCGGCCGTCAATGTCTGGAGGAAGAACTTGCAGGTAGGAACGATGCCCTGTGCCCGGGGTGGGGGGGTGGAAGGGCCCAAACTGGGGTGCAAGAGAGCCAGCAAAGCCTCTTTCTCATGCGGGTTGATTTCTGTCTTTCAGCCTCTCTAGGAGCCTTTTATTTTTCAGCCAGATCACACGCGAGAACCTGTGATCTCTGATGCCTTCATACATGCAATGCAAGGCATCCAGAGTGGCCGCCCTGTAGGTCTTAACAGAGGCCGACTGTACTCGTATCTCTTGTGTCTACCTGCAGGACAGTAAGGAAGCTTCTGGAAGTCAAGCGGTGGCTGGAACTCCCTCATTAGTATGTAGCAGAGCCATTTCCACCCCCATGTCACCTCTCGCTGTTAGATAAGATAATGAGCCTCGTGACCCTCCAATATGATGGAAATTCAAATTTAAAACTCCTCCACCCACGTCCATGGCATGAACTAGTGGTTCTAAGCTGCTGCTGCTGTGGCGCTGTATACTTCATGAGGTCATATGATGCGTATAAGGAAAGCCAACAAAAAGAAACCAGCCAGAAGCATTATGAAGACAGTCATAACGATGATTACTGTGCAGTTGACGCACGCTGATTGCGCCACCATTGATTTCCTTCAGTCTGGCGGCAATACTAACAGCAGCCAGGAGCTAAAAATACAAGTAGAGCATAAAGAGCAAAATCAATGCCCTGGCAAAATCACACAGCAGTGACCCTCCCGGTGTCTGCATATCTGTACAACATAATGCAGACACCAAATAAGAGTGTAAAAAACATGCATGCCAGAGGCTTCGTGTGGCCCTTCCTGCCTAAACAGGCTTCAGTTTAAAGGTCAGTTCACCCAAATTTCACAGGAAATGCTCATGTTAGCTCTAGTGGTGTCTCATTTTTAATACTTTGAAATGGAGGTGAAAGGAATTCGGCATTTTCGTGGCGAAACACCACTAGGATTTGAGTGAACTTGCCATTTGGGCTTTAATCAAGGGATAAGCTCCTCTGCTCAGCCACTGAAGAACATGATTTGCCCCTGTACCACAATGCAATCAATTCGGCTGTGAAGCGTCGGAGCACCCCACCTCCTCCTCCTCCTCCTCCTCCATCCCCACAAAACTTTGCTCCCTCCCTAATTGGATAGCTTGGAGGTACAGGGTCTCCACACTTGATGGCCAATCACGCTGTGAGTGTGTAATGTGGCCCTGGCAGCCTGTCGCTGTGTCTCTGTAAGCCTTGAGCGAGTGTTTCGGCCCTGCTGAAATGTGACAGCAGGGCTGGAGGAAGGTACAGTATGATGATCACAAGTGCCTGTCAGCAAATCAATGTCCTTCTGAGAGTGTCCACCATCCAACTGTGTGTAACTGTGTGTCCTCATATGGATGTTTGTGTTCTCTAGGCGCATACAGCAGGCAAATGCATGCAGGGGGCATCACTAAGAAAGGAGAGGGACACACTAAACTGCCCCCAGACCAGTGTAATTTAGATCCATGTCAGTGATGATCATGATGATCTCGATGATCCCTCTGCGCCGCTGAACAAAGACAGCTCATGCATGCTCATCCCGCTCACTGACGTCACCGTGAGCCCCGGAGCTAAAATAACGGACACGATCTTCACTGCCCCGACGATAACCGTCGTAATGGCGTCTCATGCAAATCGCGCCGCAAGAAGTTTGAGCTAATCCAATCTGTTCTGCGTGAACATTATTCGGGATCTTATTCATACTCTTTGGCTTCACTGATTTGATTACTCACAGTGATTCAATTTTCACAAACTCAAAACGACAGCTTGGTTTATGTGGAACACAGAGTCCCCACAATGGAAAGATCACAGTTTATGTGGCCTCCTCCTTCCTTAGCACAGCAAGCACTGAAACCTGGACTTCCATTGTTGGCATCATTCTGACTGCTTGTATGTGTGTTGTATGTAACTATGTGCTTAAACACATATATACGGCCTCAGGTTGGTGTTTTATACAAAGCACTGTGCAGGACTGTGCACTCACAGACCTTCAAACAGACGTAACTTCAGAGAACGTGCACATCTGACTAAATCTGTCAATTTTATGACATTATCTCCACATGCTGTTAATGCTCAAAAGCCCTCTAACTGTAAGTTCATTGACTGCAACACCACACGCTGCTGCTTTTACAGTCTTTTGCAAAGAGATGCTGTAAAAGTGCATGCTGTGTTTGAACTGCATGCATAAGATAGTGGAGCCACAGAGATGTAGAGGTGCTCAAATTCGCATATCTGTATCTGGGTAGGGTTTGTGCCCACATTTTTAAAGTGATTTAAATCTTTATGATGTAAATTTATCACCTTGTTTTGAATGTAACTGCCTGCACTCAGCAACAAATGACAGCCGGCGAAAATAGTGGAGAAGCTGTTCTTCGTTAGAGCTGGAGGAGACCAAATCAGAGCTACGAGAAGAGCGAATGTTAAACCTACATTCACAAGCATGAATATCTAAATGACTGCTGATGTTGCTCTGTATCTGTTGCTCTCTGCTGCTTGGTTAATGTCATCGCAATGGTGATAACGTGTTGGTTTTGTATTCACAGCTTGTTTCTCTCAGTTATTGCTGATTTAAACACCATTTTACATCTTGAAAGTGATGCTTTCTTTACAGAGAAGTGTAAAATTGGACAAAAAAAAAAGTTTCTTCAGCTACGGTTTGTTTCTCACAAATGTCTGGGAGTGAACAGGACTCAACAGGACTGTGAATGATGCTGTTGTGTTCAACTCTTCATCAAGGTGTACAGACATGCATGAGCGAAAATGCTCATGCAGGCAACTGTGTGAACTTCTGTGGTGGATGTTTGCGAACTCTGATCTATAAATTTACATTATAAAGATTTACATCACTTTATGTTCAACTTTATGTTTGTAGCATCTCTGGTGGCCTTTTAGCTTGGTACAACAGACGTTACTCAGAAGTGCACTGTCTGAACGAGACTGAAACCGGTGTCGGTTTGGGACGAGAACAAAGTGTGATAAAAGCCCTGCTGCGTGACCATAACAGTGGTGTATAATGATGCCGGACTAACGGTGGCTGCTGTGTCGCTGTACGAGTCCCACGCCGCGCTTCATCCGACGGTCCAGCATGCACCTGCATGGCCGGGACTGTGCACCAGCAGCGCCTCATCAGGGCTCAGAGCGGCCGGGCGGCAGCCTCGGACGTGTCAGAGAGCTAAAGGCTAAAAAAGACGGGAGCTGACGTCACTTGGGCATTGATTTTTCCTGAGAACAATACACGAGCTGATCATTTACTAACATGAGATGTCATCTTCCAACAGGAACAAAAAAAATAATATTATTTGCTCTTACCTGCACTAAAAAAAAAAAAAAAAAAAATCGAGCAAAAACCGATCACTTCCTCTGCCAGCTCTCGTCTGCACCTGCTCGAGCTGGTTGTCGGGGTGACGGTGGTAAATAAAAAAAAAAAAGTGCCCTGAAAGAGCCTATTCATGTGACCTGATGAACGAGGATGTACTGCGGGGCCAGTGCTGGCCAGGATTGATTTGTCATGCTATTTGTTTTGTGTTTATTTTTGTTTTTTACTTCTTCTATGTTTTTCCCCCCCTTTTGAATTCCTTCCCTCCATCCATAAAACGTTTTGGCATGATGAAATTCACACCACACTGCCCCGCCCAGCCCACGGGCCTCCCTCTGCTGCTACTACCGCCATCCTCCATCTCTACTTTACTAACCTCCATCTTAGAGCGCTTCCTTTCTTTCTTTCTTTCTTTCTTTCTTTCTTTTGTAGACGTAGCATCTTTTAGCCTCATCATGAAATAAAGACAACTGCAAATCTTTCTTTTTGCACTTTACTTCCAGTTAGACTATTATTTTGCTGCTACAGTAGACGACCATTCCTTCTCAGATCTTTTTTATTTTATTTTTATTTCCTCACCCTCCATCCCATTCCCTTGTGTGTGGGGTGAATTTCCATTATACCACTTTAAGGTATAATGACTTAAATGGGCTTCAATTACTGACCTTTTGTCGCTGTTGTTTTCCCTCTTTGATATGCATTTTTAGTGGCATCCGAAACTGCAGCTTCTCAACTTTTTTATACCTGCCTGGCTTTGGATGTGGATGTTTGCTTTGCTAGTTTATTTATTTATTTTTTATAAATATAAGCGATTTTTAAATTTTTATTTCTTTTTTGGTTCCCTTGGCTTCTGCTTAAGGATTAAAGTAATAACGATCAGGTGGATGGAAATTTATTTTACTTTTCTTTTCTCCCCCTATGCAGCCCTCTTCCTCTCTAGAGACTCAGGATGTAAGAATACCTTAATATGAGTTCTCTTTTTATTTATTTCTTTGCACACAAACACCCAGTTTATTGTGCTGAGAGTAGCTGTGGGGCACTCTGATGGTATGAGGGAGGGATTGCACCAATTCGGCTCGCCATCTTTGTACAGGTAGCTTCTTTTTCCTTTGCCTTTTTTTTTTCGACAGAAATGTAGATCGGAGATGCTTCATGAAGTCACACTTAGCCTGTTTAGCTGATCCATTTCAAACTGTGTGTTCAGACCAAGGAGTCGCAACTGTAAAGTGTGTGTTCAGGCGGGTTACAGGTGGGGTGTTTTAGTAGTTTAACGTAGGTATCACGCCCACTGACATCTTTACTAGTCATCACTCATTCCAGTGCATTTTCTAGGGGCCGAGTGAATGTGTCCGCACATTTCTAGAGGACTACTGTGCCATCTCGTGCCGTCCAAGTGTGACAATGCTGCTTAAAAAGATGTAGACCAATGCCCTCATGTCAGACTGAACAGACTACTTCCACGCTCACATCTAACAGGCTTTATCCCTTTCTTTCTCCCTCTTTTTTTATTTTATTTTTTTAAACATTTTCCAAATGCTTTAGTCGATTGTACAAGGACCCTCCCAATAACATTTAGAGAATTTAAAAAGAAAAAGAAAGCTAAGGTGGGGTGGTGAGCTTGGTTTTGGGACGGTTATGACCCCAGCCAGAGGACGTGAATAACGTTTCTACATATATTTATTTTAGGATAGGAAAAGTGGTAGAGCAGAGCCCGACCCCAAAAAGAAAGCCTCTTTTAGGTCCATCAGTACCACCCTGGCCTCCAGCATCAAGAGACGTAGGTCCTCCAAAGACATGGTAAGGAGACGGAGAAGCAACATCTTCCCTTGTTTGATCTTCAGTCTCTTTCCTCCTCCTCTGTCTCTTCACCCCTTTATTTCCTCTTTCGCTGTCCTCTCTGCCGACATCCACCCACCCATATCCGACCACGACAGACTCCCATGTCCACTCATTTCGCTCCGCGGCCACGTGTCTGTCCGTTCACCATCGATCAGCCATCACCATTTAGACTCTAACAGTTTCCTCTGCGGCCCTGGAGGGCGTCAGTGCAGGATCTCAGGTCAGGTCAGCTGGGCTCTGAGTTTGGGAAGAAAAGGGAGCGTTGCAGGTTTTTTCTTTTCTTTTTATTTTGGAGGTCGGGGGGGTTCGACAAAAGCAAGCAGTGGTGTTTTGTCTTGGGCTGCTCTTCCTCCCTGCCTCTGGTTTGGACGTGGATTCTGGCAATTGTACTTGGTGTTGTTGTTGTGGTGTGTGTGCTGTACCTGAGCGGGTGTCTGTCGTGGATATTCGTGTGGACGTCCTGTCCCTTTTTTTGACTGCCTGAAACCTTCGTATATCCATCGTTTTCTTTGCATCAATCCTGCACCTCTTCGGTTTCGGCCGCTGTTGGTTTTCCGCTTATGGTTTGAGAAGCATGCGCTGGTGTTCTGTCCTTTATTTTTTTGTTGTTTTTTTTTTTCAAAAAAAAAATCCATTTTCAAGGTGATGGCCGGTCGTCCTGAGAAGAACAACTAATGTGTCAACACGTCTATTTCAGGATTTACTCTCATGGATTTCTATTAATCGATTTCCTTTTTTGCTTTGTCATATTTTCTTTATCATAATTCTTGTTTAATTTCCAGTGTCCTTTGTGGTCTGAACTGTGCATGCCTCTTTCAGGGTGTATTTTCAGGTGATGAAGAAAGTCTCCTTTTGTTGTGTTTTAATTATTTGTTTTCTCTCGGGCTACAGACTCTGTGAAGCCTTAGACTCTCACTGTGTAGCAAGCGTAATTAAAAGCCATTCTCTTCTCTTTTCCGAACCGATTTCACGCAGTTTTAATAAATCCCTGCTTGATTCTTTTGTTTGCAGCACAATGAGAGTGTCAGGTTTCCTGCATTCCTTCACAGTTCAGTTGAAAAGCTCGTTGCGGTTGGGAGATTGTACTACGCAGGCTTGCAGCGCTCTGACAAAACCAGTGACCCGCAGTCATTTTGTGCCCAGCTGCTCCGCCAGACATGGTTGCTGACCAAATCTGGCTTTTACAAAAAACACAACAGTAAAAAAAAAAAAACCCAGCAGTAATCTCTGGAGAGAGCACAGAAAACCCTTCACCGAGAGGCTTTTTGCACTAACATTGTGTTTTGACTGTGTTTCTCAGGGGAGATGTAGCCTTTGGCAGCTAAACGAGTCACAAAGTAAAATCCTGTGTTTTTATTTGATTCCTTGTCTTTCTCTCTTTTCTCTTGTGTTAACTTGTCTTTTTTTTATTTTATTCTTTATTTTACTGTGGATGTTACCGCATTGAAGCACCTTTCCTCCTCTTCCCCCGGGCGCTTTCTCAATAGAATTGGTTTGAAGAGAAGAAGAGGGTTTCGGACGCTGGTTTGAAAGCCCTTAAATGATCATTTTATAAACAAAGTGGAAACAGGATTTAGAGTAATAAAAAAACCCCAAGACGCTCTAATTGAAAGACCTGCCATCTTCAGTCTTTGACCATTATTTTGATTTTATATAAATGTTCTTCTTTTATATTAATGGATATCAATGGACTTGAGTGTCAGTGTCCCTCACCCACATGCCACACTGCTCCTCTCTCCCTCTGCAAGCATGCTGATAACTTCAACTGTCATAGATGTAGTAGCAGTAGAAGTAGGAACCCTCTCTGTAGCTGTACGTGGACTAAAAAAAAATCACCGTAGCTGTGTTGAATAAGTAGCTTCTTATAGCCGTTAACTGTGGTTGTGATGTCAGTGAAAGTGTCTCTCTTTTGCTGGTCCACTTGACCCCGGTAGGGTGCGCTGTTAGCAGGCCCTCAAGGTACAAGACATGAGGAGACCCAAATGGGGGCTGTAAGCTATATGATGATGCAACTCGCGGGTCAAGGGGATGAGGAACATCCACTCTGATTCCTAACAATACAAGAAAAAAAAGAAAAGAAATTTTAAAAACCTGGGTTCAGTCTGGATGTTGCCCCATCCGTCAGCATGTTAGTTGCATCATAACAGCTTCTGAAGCTCATATGCTTGAATGTATCGGCTTAAAAACGAGAGGAACCATAATTGAAACTGAGTCGGGTGAACTGTTTTGATGTGCTAATATTCATTTGCAATGTGTTTTTTATTTTTTTTCCCAGTTGGGATTTTGATTGGCAGGATTATAAAAGAGATGAGTGATGTGTAATTGACTGTTTTTTGTATATTTTTTTTGCTCATCAGCACAAACAGCAGCCTCAGCCTTGTAAAAAATGAAAAAAAAAATGGCTTCCTGCTGTCAAAGACTCAAGCAAAAATCACCGTTGCCATAGAAACTAAGCACATGCATGGAATTGGGATGTCGTCGTTCCCCTCTCAGCACCGTAGAAGCCTATAATTCAACGCACTCTGCTTTTAAAAAAAGAAGAAGCACAGAGAAGCAGGGGACTGGACGTAAGAGTCCGACGCAACGGCACTTTGAAATCAGCCCTCCTCAAAAAAAAAAAAAACCTCATCTTCTCTTCTTCTGAGCTGCTAAAATTAGAGAAGCTGCCTGTCTGCATGCGAACAAAAACGAGCGCGGGGGAGATAAACGAGCTGTCCGTCCTGTCCGAGGCAGAGAATTATCACCCCGTCATGCTGCTGAGGGCTGAGAAACATTCAAATCTGCTGTTGTGGAGACACTCGGGGCCTCTTACGTCTGCTCCCGGCTAGCCCACCTCAGGCTCAACCAAAGCCAAATTCAAATTGGAAGTCTGCCTGAGTGGGGTTAGAGCACCCTGATGCTTCTGCAGAAACCTTCTGTTCTTCAATTAAAGTGAATGTTTAGATAATTTTTACTAACATTGCAACTCAAAAAAAAAAGAAAAAAAAAAGAATAAGAAGAAGTTAAACCTGCACTAATTGCCAAGCAGTGACACCCTGTTATGTATCCTCCCTCCTCCTTATTTCTCCTCCACCTCTGCAGCAGTACCCACCCACTGACATCACGGGCCAACTCAACTTGTCCGACCCGTCTGTCAGCACCGTGGTGTAAAAGAGAAGGAGGGCGACGCCGAGGTTCGCTCCCCGAGGAGAGAGGAAATGAGACGAGGGAGGAAGAAGAAGGATTCCTTGTTCCCTTCGTCGCCAGAAGCCGAAGCTTTTCATTTCACCGCCTGCCGACGGAGCTTTTGAGGAAGAAGAAGAAGAAGAAGTGGCTGAAAAAAAAAAAAAAAAAAAACACTGAACTTGCACCTTTTTATAAAAGACAGGATTACCTGCTCTTAGATGTTCGTAGGGTCCCTGAGCATGCACAGAAGAACCCATCCGACTCACATATACGACCTTTTCCTTCTGTATATTCTTAGCTTAAACTTACTTGTTTTTTGTCCTTTTACTCACATAAACTTTACTTAATGTTTGATGTTTTCCAGCTTTTAGCGAGCCCAGGTTTAGTTTGGTTCAAGGTTTTTATGGTGCATATCACTTCCAACTAGGGCCTAGAAGCCGCAGTAATATCTAGTATTTCGTTGCGACGTATCCTGCAATACAAGAGGTACTGTAAGCTTCAATGGAGATCAAGTATTTTTAATAGGATCTACTTGTGTTTTTATCTACACTTTAAGGGTTTTTAGGAATTTCTTTCATTGGGAAGCACTAATAACGGCACTGACGGTCTTGTCTACCGATGAAAGCATGTGTGAATAAGAGCTTTATGTATCTGAATGATAATTATTAGGATTTTTGAAGGATTCTATTGAACTCGTATCTTCCCCCTACTTTTAATTTTGCACTAATCTGACAAAATGCACGTGTTTCTATTTCTAGCAACTCAGCTTTATTACTATTTATAGAGAGATAAGCAAGTGATAGAAATTATGCATCTATTTGCAGTTTTATTAATTTGTTTCTGGTGTTTTATTTTCATGTTCAGCCATGTTTAAAGGTTTTGGGACGCCCTCTTTCTTCCTCTCTCCTGCCCCAGCAGTCTTTCTCATTTCCAGTCTTGATAAAAAAAACACAAGGGGTTGCATCAAAGGGCCAGGTTTTTCACCCAACCAGCGCTCGGTCCTTCGTGCAAAACCTCCTCCTCCAGCTGGAGGGCTTTTTGCACGAAGGAGCCGGGAGTGACTTTTTAAAACTTTGCTTGGCTTGCGAGCTTCCACGCGAGTCATGGTTAGATGCAAAAACAGGCCGTTTCCCAGTTTTCTGGAGGTGAGAAACCAGCTGCTGTGGACATGCGACTATCATGTCCTCTCTGGTGTCTGGCACTGCGTAGCACTTTATGCTGAGGGGTCTCCCAAACTGTACGGAAATACACTGATTTCACCAAGAAATCACATCACAAATACCTTTTTTTTTTTCTTTTCTTTTCTTTATCAGAGAAACGATGAATGATGCCACTTTTAAACGCCCTTTGGTTTCGGACCAATAGGCTGCTTCTGATCTTCGTTCAGGCCTGTGCATGCTTTATTATGTGTTCTTTAATCAGTGCTTCAGTTCGTTCCCGGATGCGTGTTGTGGTGCAGCTAGCCGAGCCGTGTGCAGCACTGAAGTTGAATGAAATGTAAATAGAGTCTGGTTCCATGTAGGTGAGGATGACGAGGTCGTACTGCGCTTGTCCTACGACTTGCAGCTGAGAATGTCTTCTGCTATAATTACAAACACACAAACAGTCGTGATACACAGGCATGCATCGCACAACATGCACACACACACACAGACACACACACACACGTCCACATCTTTAAATCCCTTAAGGGAGGAGTCACGTGTTTTTCTTACCTTTTCCAGTGAAGCATTGAACCATCTTGTTTATACAACTGTAAATAAAATATACTTACATTGCCAAGTCTAACCAATCCTGTGCTTTAATTGTTTTTGGATTTGCAACAAACAACAACATTCATTATCAATTTGACTGTATTTTGTTTCCCAATTAATTGTCTTTGAAATATTGAAAACTTCTCAAAGTCCAAAGTGACGTCTTCAGAGTTCAGGTGCAAAACAGGAAAACGCAAGTATGAACACAAAAAGAAAATAATAACAAAGTGAGTAAAAAGATCAAATATAAGTCCACAGAGGAAAAAAGTAGGCCTTGTGTCCAGAGCATGATGTGCATTTTTAATAAATCATCCCCTCTGACCCAACTGCCTTCTTAAACAGGGCATTGTTTTTGTTTTTTTTTTATAATTATTTTTTATTTTTATTTTATTTTATTTTATTGAATAAGACTAATTTCTAATCATAGTGATAATAAACTTTGTGTATTTTTTGCTCAATAGCAATATTTCAAATTAAAAACTTCTAAACTGGGGTGGAGCAATAACCATGATATTTACAAATCGCAGTATTGGTGTAATGTTGTTATTACGCTGATGAGAAGTTATTAAATTAGCTATCCAGTAACACTCTGCCTCCCTACAAACGTATTTTGACTGTAGTTCATTTGTCAAAAGGTAAATGTTATTTAGTTTTTTGGAGTTTTTTCCCCCCAAAATGTCTCTACACATCACAAATCATCGTTATCATGAATTCTTGTAGCCATGATCATCATGTTGTGAAAATCATCCCTGATTTAAACTAGATTTAAAGAAATTAAAGCCTAAGTTGTCTGAACTTTTATAATAAAACTGAATTTACTAATGAAAATGTTTAAATACAGCCAATGTTTTAAACTCTGCTTATCCATACAGCTTAAAGGCTATGATTCCTCATAGTTCTTGTTTCTCTGCATGTAGACGGTAAATACGCTTTTAAATACCCTTAATATAAATGTATATATAAGAGACTAACAAGAGCTGAAACACAAGTAAATACTGGACTTAGATTCATTAGGTGAACAGAACCACCACTTAAATTGAATAATTAGATTGCTGTCTGTTTCTTGAATAGATATAGAAGACATTATTTCACTATTCTATTGCTTTTATACAGCTGGGACGTCTTTCTGTCTCTCTTTCTGATTATCTTGGACTATATAATTTACTCCATGTGGAACTAAACAAAGATTTAAAGACTAACAAAGTGCATTTTTGTAGTGAAAATGGTAGAAATGACAGCAGAATTTAATATTATGTAATTTGCAACAACATAAAGTTCTTCTCTAGTTGTTGATTTAACCCTAAAAACTCATCTCTGTGTCAAAGTTCCATATTTAGATGTTTTTTTTTAGCTTAGATGTTCCTCAACACTGTAATGTCCTTTCGAACGTGTAGATCTATCGTGTCTCACGTCCTTTTCCACCCACATCTCCACTACCTGCTGCAGCTCCAGCACACCAGCTCACCACTGACTTTGCACAAACACTGTAAAACTGTTTTACAATTCTACAACTTCATTTAGCAGACGCTTTTATCCAAAGCGACGTACATCTGAGAGCAGATATAACACAAACAAGGATCCAGTCAGGAGAAAACAACCTGGATAAGAGCCATAGAACAAGTTCACGTGAGACAGGGCGTTGATGCCAACAGCATGTGCTTTACAAATTGTTGTAGAGTAATTCAGCCATACCTGTCGGATGTAGAACTCGATTCTCAAGAAGAAGAACGATGCAGAAAGTCTCACCTTGCAAATAGATAGAATTAGTTCTAAGGTTTGTAAAAGATGAAACCTTGAAGGTCTGCATTTGTGTCATTAAAACGTTGCAGTTTCAAATGCTCAGCCATGGTGTTGACTGATTATTCTGCTAATTATAAAACACCACATGGACATGTTAACAAGGTTTTAAAAAAATATTGATTTCTAGGTTTTTTTTGGAGTCTCTTTAACAGATTAAAGTGTTGAAACGTCTTAGAGATTGCCATGAAACCGTACACAGATATTTTCAATCCCAAGAGGACCGGAGTCGTGTTTGCTGCTAATTAGCACATGTTAGCATGCTAACACGCCTAACCACGTGACTTGCTGAACACGACAACATCATTACTGTGTGCATGTTGGCGTCGTTTAGCAGCAAAGCGCCGCCTCCCTGCAGTGTTGAACTCCACGAGACACGGCACCAACACGCTCCCTGTCACACTCGGTGTAATCTCCAATTAAATTACGTCTGTCATCATTAATTAAAGCCCAGCTGTCACTGTTAATTAACGACAAAGGTCAGAGGCAGGATAATGTCAGGTGAGACATTTGTTCCGGTCCGTTGACCTTCAGTCCTGATCGCAGCAGACAGTCTGTCAGAGAGATTAATGCGACTCCGAGTGCTGATCGGTCCAGAGGATGACAAATGGATCATAAAGGTCCAATGTGTCGGATCTATCAGCATAAATTCTATATTCTAATATGTTTTCATAATCACTTGTAACTGCGGATCATTGAGTTTCCGCTAGCTTGGAATGAGTCCTTCATATCGATGTGTGGAGCTTTAACAGAGTCCAGCACTGTGTTTCAGAACAGACACCAAAAACTGGCTCTAAACAGGAATCTCCAAGTTTTTAATATGAAGTGACAGCCATCGAAGCTTCTCCTATACAGGCCTGGCTGCAGTTTGTAACTTCACCACTAGATGGCCCTGAATCCTGCACGCTGGTCCTTTAAGTCCAGATCTGAACCCTTTGACATGAAGACAAGTTGTGCGTTACAGCTTCACATGCAAAGAGTCATGATGTTTATTTTCATTATGCATCGCAGGTTTTCACTCATTAAGAGAGATTTTAAATGTAACGTATGCAACTGCATGTCGTGCAGATGTGCAGTGTCGTGTAAATGAATCCATCCAGCAGAATATTGGTTGTTTTCCATCTATAGATCATAAAATAGCTGACAAATATAATTCTCAAAAATGGCAGTGAACCAGAATCCTGAAATTAAATTAAGCCGCTAAATGGAATTAACCTGAGATTTATTTCATATTATTTACGTCAATGCTTTTCCTGCTTGTTTGACTGTTGTTATTTTTATCTACTTAACAATATCAGCATCTGTTATGAGTGTGGATTATAAATTCTACGAAGCTGCGGTTCTTTTAACATCTTTGCTTCTTAATGCGGTTATTTAAAACTCCAAGAGAGCTTTTTTTCTCCAAAAAGACATTTTGGTGCGTCACTGTAGGAA